TCACCCATGATTTTTCCGTTTCCTATATTTCCTGTCTTTTCTTATCTACCATCTCATCCTGGCGTTGTCTCCCTAGTTATCCGTTCTCATATGGCCCTGACTGTTGTGTCTCCCTAGTCACCCGTTCTCAGATGGCCCTGACTGTTGTGTCTCCCTAGGCATCCGTTCTCAGATGGCCCTGACTGGTGTGTTTCCCTAAGCAACCGTTCTCAGATGACCCTGACTGTTGTGTCTCCCTAGGCACTCATTCTCAGATGGCCCTGACTGTTGTGTCTCCCTAGGCACCCGTTCTCAGATTGGCCCTGACTGTTGTGTCTCCCTAGGCACCCGGTCTCAGATGGTCCAGGCTGTTGTGTCTCCCTATGCATCCGTTCTCAGATGACCCTGATTGTTGTGTCTCCCTAGTTACCCGTTCTCATATAGCCCTGACTGTTGTGTCTCCCTAGGCAACCGTTCTCAGATGACCCTGACTGTTGTGTCTCCCTAGTTACCCGTTCTCATATAGCCCTGACTGTTGTGTCTCCCTAGGCAACCGTTCTCAGATTACCCTGACTGTTGTGTCTCCCTCGGCACCCGTTCTCAGATGGCCCTGACGGTTGTGTCTCCCTAGGCACCACACCGATTCTAAGATGACCCTGACTGTTGTGTCTACCTAGGCTCCCGTTCTCAGATAGCCCTGACTGTTGTGTCTCCCTAGGCTCCCGTTCTCAGATAGCCCTGACTATTGTGTCTACCTAGGCTCCCGTTCTCAGATGACCCTGACTGTTGTGTCTACCTAGGCTCCCGTTCTCAGATGACCCTGTCTGTTGTGTCTCCATAGGCATCCGTTCTCAGATGACCCTAACTGTTGTGTCTCCCTAGGCACTCGTTTTCAGATGGCCCTGATTGTTGTGTCTCCCTAGCCACACGTTCTCAGATAACCCTGACTGTTGTGTCTCCCTCGGCAACCGTTCTCAGATAACCCTGATTGTTGTGTCTCCCAAGGCACCCGTTCTTAGATGACCCCGGCTGTTGTGTCTCCCTAGGTACCCGTTCTCAGATAACCCCGGCTATTGTGTCTCCCTAGGCACCTGTTCTCAGATTACCCCGGATGTTGTGTCTCCCTAGGCACCCGTTCTCAGATAACCCTGATTGTTGTGTCTCCCAAGGCACCCGTTCTTAGATGAGCCCGGCTGTTATGTCTCCCTAGGTACCCGTTCTCAGATAACCCCGGCTATTGTGTCTCCCTCGGCACCTGTTCTCAGATTACCCCGGATGTTGTGTCTCCCTAGGCAACCGTTCTCAGATAACCCTGATTGTTATGTCTCCCTAGGCACCCGTTCTCAGATGACCCTAGCTGTTGGGTCTCCCTAGGCACCCGTTATCAAATGGCCCTGACTGTTGTTAGTACGCTAAACACCTTAAAATGGAGCAAATCAACAACCTAAAGCTGAAGAGAAAGCTGCTGGTAGTTTAACATGATGACACTATGATGTTTCCGTAACCGACATCGCGACAGGCGTGTCCAGTGTAGTTTAGATTGTTGATGACGTATTTGATATGATGATCGGCAACACGTGTGATACATAAACCGCTAACCAAACCAGTTATTTGTGGCATCCTTTTTGTTTCTAAGGTTCTGTTTTGATGTTTCCTCTGTCCCTGGTTGTGTTGTATATCCGTTAAACATTTATTTCATTTTGTTATAATGTAATGCTGCTACATATATATTCTGCAGTCACATATTCTTCAAAATGTGACCACCATGCTAGTTTACTAAATTGTGTTTTTAATTTATTACGTTTAGTAGGTGTCTGCTGTTCTTTACATAAGAAAAAACTCGTGAAATAATTATCGTTACCTTATTCAGTCAAAGCCTTTTTCATTCATCTCCCGTACAGAGGCAATTACAGAGAAAATAGTCCTCTTTTGATGTTTTATTTTGTTCGCTGTATATATTTCCTACAATCCGTCATAATTAAAAAGATGGATCTGCGGACTTTATAATCAAGTATTACTTTGTTTAATGAAGCGAAGTAGTAAACATACATGTGTATGCATAATTTTCAGAGTGTCAAGAAATTTCTGTTAAATTTAATTTAATTTATATACTCGGTAATAGATTGAATACTATTTTTCCATTAAGGAATCGTACGTACTTTGAAGATTCCTTTCGACGGATTTTGTAAATTAATATTTCATGTCACAAAGCATCTTGTTTAAATTTCGTTCAGAAGTAAGAAGACGAATATACGTTATGACAAGCAAGATGATATCAAACCGTAAACGAAAGAGTAATTCAAACTTAGAATTGACAAAGCAAGTCAAAATACGATCAAAGTAAAGTTTAACAATGATACGATGGAAAAGTACGAAGATAATAATGCCAGGTGTTACTGAAGAGAAAAAGTCGTCTGATTCATCGACAAAACCGCCATGCTTATTTAGGTGTGCATTTCTCGCATATATAATATTTTGCCAGTGTGAACATAATAGCATTAAAAACATTTGCCTCCCTGGAAGCCTGGGTTGTTATGTTGTCCGTCCGGCGTCTATTCAGAAAATCGTTATATCCTTGAATATCGAATCAATTGCAACATAACAACATCGTAGTATGGGGAAACTATATGTCATTATCAAGAAAGGGAAAGTTCATGATCGGATACCCGAAATCGTCCTATTTTCGTACAACTTAGTAGGAAGCTGTACATGTTGGTCATGCTGTAGGTAATAATCTAATGAAGATAATATACATCATTTATATAGCGCCCTATATACTTTGCAAAATTACTCAAAGGTGCTCAAATACATGAATAACATGATAAAACAAGGTATTCAAATCAGCACTTAACAATAGGTTAAGGTTGAAATAAGAGTAGGATGTATAAGAATTTAATAGTGTCCTCGATTTCAAATTCAGAAGTATATCCGATCGATGTAGTTAATACAATTTTATATTCGTAAAGACCACGAATATCATCGGTATATTTGAAAGTGAAGGCGAAGGACTAGGCAAGGGCTTGTCAGTCGTCCTGACAAATGCTTTGATTAATTCAGTCTAATGTGAAAACAAAGCAAGCTTGCAGATAAAGGGCTACCTTTTATTCCAATTGGTATATATTACTTAACAAAGATACCATCCACTCTCAAACATGCGTTGTCATCTCCGGTATTTCATTTTTTTTCGTTGTTGTGTTTTTAACGAAATGTGGTCAGAGCAAGTTCAAAACTATATATTTGTATCACAGTTTGTCACGGGGAAATAGTTCTCTGAAAAAAGGGCGTTCCTACGGTTTTACATGAGAAATGATAGCAAACGGACTGGAGAGGAGGATTTCTTTAAGTTCAAAGTTAAATATTGAAGGTATTGAAGGGAGATCCGACTGTTCTCACTAAATACCCCATTAATGAAAATATAAAGTCGCGTTTAATACCTATTTCTTGATTTATGGCAACAAGAATGTGATCGAATATGTCCAAAATGTCTCAAACCAAATTTATATATGCCATTATTGGTTCGGTAAATTGATTAAGCAAATTCAGATTGTCTACCGCACCATGACTTCTTTAAGACGTTGAATAACTAGATAAGCAATACACGATCGTCTTGTACACGGAGTAGTTAATATACAACAGACTTTGTTACCACACCACATGCACGATAATTTTAGAGTTATTCCTCTTAGATCGCTTCTGTTAAAAAATATTCTGGACAAAACATCATGTTTAAAATTTTCAGGTAATCCTTTCTCGTTTCGTTGTATTTTTTTGTAACGATATTATAAATCGGGACCTAGCTGGGGAAATCCATGAGCATTTTTTTTTTACAAATGTTTACATGAACAAATGGACCTAGATATTTGCCTCTCATCTGTTGAAATATCTACCACTTTCCTTTCTATCCAGAATTGATCAATGATTTATTCATATACGTCGACTTAAAATATCCACGGTGATTGAATAGCACAGATAGACAGCACGACATAATTTTTACAAACTTTCCATCATGACAGATGTGTATAACAATCATATAATTTCAACTGGTTGACGGTAGGAATTAGGATGTAATTATTTTCTCTTGGGTATGAGAAACGCCAATAGGTGGCGCTAATGGTGGTATTTGCACGTGCAGATGGCACACGTGTATTTTTGTTTCATTTTTAAATGGGGTTATTATATTGAGATTGATTGGTTAGGAGTTATATGTTTGTGTGTGAGATGTACATTATTGTGTATTTGTGTTTATTAATCATGACGATTGTAAATAAACATCGGTCAGTGCTTATGTCGCTGGGAAATACAGTTTTGTATTCGTGTTGCTATCCTATTGGATACTATAGAAGAGAAATCCTATTACGTTGATTAATTACCATACTATCTATAAATAACATGAACCAAATACAATGTATTCATAATAAGATGCTGTGAAAACACATGTTATACTACAGGAGTAATATAAGGCTAGTTTGCTGCATTAGTGGTCTTTTTGTCAATTCACTCAGGACATATGAAATAATTTCTCGTGCAATCAGGCATAGCATGTCATATGTCGTAAATACAAAGACAGAGTGTTCCCTTTGATTTCAGTTAAGATAGATTAACATATATATCACATCTGTTATCAGTTTGTTAATATATGTAAAGTAAGAAGACCCTGACCTGGTTTGGTAATAGAAAATATCGATCAAATTAATATATACATGTTAGTTAAAGATTTGATACATTGTAGCTATATGTCAGAAACGTTTATTGTACTGTCAAAAGTATATATATCTATAAATATCGACACTGTTCACTCGAGATGTGGAGTCAATGAAGTGATAATTTTGCAAGAATTCAAAATTTCTTCTAATCAATCTTGAACATCCTCTCCTCAAAAACTGTTCCCACTTTTAAAACTTTTGACTTTTTCAGTCTTTACACTGCCATATCACATATGAAAATAAAGAAACGCTTTTTGCTTTCTTATAATGAGAGTTTGCATTTCTTAGAAAGATAAACGATGCTTCAGTAAAAGTTAGTTAATTGTTTTGGTGCATATTTTGTTTAAAAGGTAGAGCAAGGGCACAAATGACCTTGATGACAAAATTGTGTGAATAATTGAGTTCCTGGTTGTCAACATCTCTATTGAGTTCCTGGTTGTCAACATCTCTATTGAGTTCCTTGTTATCAATATCTCTATTGAATTCCTTGTTGTCAACATCTCTATTCAGTTCCTTGTTGTCAACATCTCTATTGAATTCCTTAATGTAAACATCTCTATTGAGTTCCTGGTTGTCAACATCTCTATTGAGTTCCTTGTTGTCAACATCTCTATTGCGTTCCTTATTGTCAACATCTCTATTGCGTTCCTTGTTGTAAACATCTCTATTGAATTCCTTGTTGTCAACATATCTATTGAATTCCTTGTTGTCAATATCTCTATTGAGTTCCTGGTTGTCAACATCTCTATTGCGTTCCTTGTTGTAAACATCTCTATTGAATTCCTTGTTGTCAACATCTCTACTCAGTTCCTTGTTGTCAACATCTCTATTGAATTCCTTAATGTAAACATCTCTATTGAGTTCCTGGTTGTCAACATCTCTATTGCGTTCCTTGTTGTCAACATCTCTATTGCGTTCCTTGTTGTCAACCTATCTATTGAATTCATTGTTGTCAATATCTCTATTGAGTTCCTGGTTGTCAACATCTCTATTGCGTTCCTTGTTGTCAACATCTCTATTGCGTTCCTTGTTGTCAACATCTCTATTGCGTTCCTTGTTGTCAACATCTCTATTGAATTCCTTGTTGTCAACATCTCTATTGAATTCCTTGTTGTCAACATCTCTATTGAGTTCCTGGTTGTCAACATATCTATTGCGTTCCTTGTTGTCAACATCTCTATTGAATTCCTTGTTGTCAACATATCTATTGAATTCCTTGTTGTCAATATCTCTATTGAGTTCCTGGTTGTCAACATATCTATTGCGTTCCTTGTTGTCAACATCTCTATTGATTTCCTTGTTGTCAACATCTCTATTGAGTTTCTGGTTGTCAACATCTCTATTGCGTTCCTTGTTGTCAACATCTCTATTGCGTTCCTTGTTGTCAACATCTCTATTGCGTTCCTTGTTGTCAACATCTCTATTGAATTCCATGTTGTCAACATCTCTATTGAGTTCCTGGTTGTCAACATCTCTATTGAGTTCCTGGTTGTCAACATCTCTATTGAATTCCTTGTTATCAATATCTCTATTGAATTCCTTGTTGTCAACATGTCTATTCAGTTCCTTGTTGTCAACATCTCTATTGAATTCCTTAATGTCAACATCTCTATTGAGTTCCTTGTTGTCAACATCTCTATTGCGTTCCTTGTTGTCAACATCTCTATTGCATTCCATGTTGTCAACATCTCTATTGAGTTCCTGGTTGTCAACATCTCTATTGAGTTCCTGGTTGTCAACATCTCTATTGAATTCCTTGTTATCAATATCTCTATTGAATTCCTTGTTGTCAACATGTCTATTCAGTTCCTTGTTGTCAACATCTCTATTGAATTCCTTAATGTCAACATCTCTATTGAGTTCCTTGTTGTCAACATCTCTATTGCGTTCCTTGTTGTCAACATCTTTATTGAATTCCTTGTTGTCAATATATCTATTACGTTCCTTGTTGTCAACATCTCTATTAAATTTCTTGTTTTCAACATCTCTATTGAATTCCTGGTTGTCAACATTTCTTATTGAGTTCCTTAATGTCAACATCTCTTTTGAATTCCTTGTTGTCAACATTTCTATTGAATTCCTGGTTGTCAACATTTCTATTGAGTTCCTTAATGTCAATATCTCTTTTGAATTCCTTGTTGTCAACATTTCTATTGAGTTCCTCAATGTCAACATCTCTATTGAATTCCTTGTTGACGATATCTTTCTTTATTTCTGTTATAACCATCGTCGGAAACCCACGTTTGATTGTAGAAGCGGTCAATAAACCCTGATACAGTCGGACATGGGTTTCTACTGACAAACTGCATTCCTATGAGACAATGCTATACCCCTCTTCCTGTCCTCGTGTTTTTGTTTAGCATATACCCTCCTGATCCTGAAATAAAGGACACTACAGACTCTGTTCCTTCGGCTGCTTCCCTCGTTCTTTACTGACACCATGACCAACACGGACATCTTATTACTAAGCTGTAAGATAAACGATTTCGATTTCGTTAATTATATAAATGCAGCATTTGATAAAGCGCCCATTAAGCCTCTCTAAAGCGCTTTACAATACATAGATACAATAATCAAAACAATTTTAAGGAATTCGCAGGAGCTGCCTTATCAGGCGTTAACTACTAGTCCTATACCACCTGGCTAATATCTCCCTATGTGTGTATGCCTGCGTGTGTGCTGGAGATGTAATGTGTTCTGTTTGTAATGGGACCGTGATTCCAACAGCATCATTTATAGTGCCACCATACTTAAATGCTACACCACAGATACCGCAACATCCACCCAGACCAATGTATACTCCACCTAGGTTGTTGGAGTTGTTGCTTGCTCCGATTATTACGACTTTGATGAAAGATGTCCACTTACAACACTTGGTATACAGGCTGATGAAAGATGTCCACTTAGAACACTTGGTATACAGGCTGATGAAAGATGTCCACCTAAAACACTTGGTATACAGGCTGATGAAAGATGTCCACTCACAACACTTGGTATACAGGCTGATGAAAGATGTCCACGTACAACACTTGGTATACAGGCTGATGAAAGATGTCCACTCACAACACTTGGTATACAGGCTGATGAAAGATGTCCACGTACAACACTTGGTATACAGGCTGATGAAAGATGTCCACCTAAAACACTTGGTATACAGGTTGATCAAAGATGTCCACTTACATCACTTGGTATAGAGGTTGATGAAAGATGTCCACTTAGAACACTTGGTATACAGGTGGATGAAAGATGTCCACTTAGAACACTTGGTATACAGGCTGATGAAAGATGTCCACGTACAACACTTGGTATACAGGTGGATGAAAGATGTCCACTTCCAACACTTGGTATACAGGCTGATGAAAGATGTCCACTCACAACACTTGGTATACAGGTGGATGAAAGATGTCCACTTCCAACACTTGGTATACAGGTTGATGAATGATGTCCACTTTCAACACTTGGTATACAGGCTGATGAAAGATGTCCACTTACAACACTTGGTATACAGGTTGATGAAAGCTACGGACAAGAATGTGGTCACCATCATGATCTCAAAGAGCACATTATTATTTCTTTGTGTAGTAATGAAGATTGAGGTTTGGTTTTTGCTGGCATTACCGCAGTTCTTACAGTGTTAAGGAATGCGCCAACCCTTTTGGAACACCTGGTGTTATTATCCTTGTACTGTTTCCGGTATCATCAGGTTTTACTTTCCTTTTTTGCCCCAACATTATTTTTTTTTTCATTTTTGCCGTGCTTATTTAGACAAGTTTTATATCTTTGAAGAGGAAACTTAGAACAGTTGTTTGGACAATTCCAGTATTCTAAAGTCTCAAATTTGTACATTACTGACACTTTATTGACGTGTTAGGTCGTAGAAAGTCAAGTGTGAATGCCGTACTCGATTTAATCACGTTCAAATAGTGTTATGAATGTGCCTGTTTGAGAGTCCACGGTTTACCTCTACGCTGGCCCTTTATGTCACAAACAGAAAAACAGGAAAGTTAACAGAGCAACAAGGTAGCCTTTGTGATGGGTCATTTAAGGACATTGACACGGAGGTCATCCAAGGTCAGATTTCCTCCGGCCGGCTGACTTTATCGCCAGCATCGCTTTCATATTGTCTAAGTAATACAACTTTCTTTATAAACATAACAGGTCAGCGGCCTATGAAAAGTTGTCGTAGTATAATATTGAATAAGAATAGGGTGGTGTGTGCTTTTGTCGGCAAGGTAGGTGATGGATTACTACTGAACCTGCCATTCCGTGATACATTATTAAAGTATCTTTACAAGTTACAAATTGACAGGAAAGGACATGTTATCTATAGAAATCTGTCCTCTAAAGTCGAAGTGTGAAATGACCAATACAACGGTTTAAAGTCTTGAAGTTAAAGTAACAAAGGTACATAAAACATTTTATTTCAACAATATATTCCGAGAAAAATATTTAGGCCTATACATCCTATTTAAACTACAAATGAGAGGAACTAAATGAGGCTTAACAACATTGTAAGAATCTTTTTGTTGTTCTTTAAATACGACGCAAGGTTGTACCTATTTGTAAAGAAAGAAAGTCTTTGGTGTGGGTAAGAGAAAAAACAAGAGAATATTAAAATGTCAACAAAACCTTAATTTGAACTCAAAATCGATAAAATTAGGACTAAATGCGAACATGGGAAAGATTTACATAAACCCTTGAAAACTACAAGAAGAATACGACCAGGTGTTTCTGAAGGGTACACGTCTTCTGATTTATCGACGACACCCGCCATGTAAATCTAAGTCGAATCAAAGTAATGTCACGCCCTCATATCGGGAACTTAGGTAGTGACAACAAACCACAAGGGTCAGCAATGAGCATAACCAAAAGCACTTTCATATCACTCAGCGAAATGACCTATTTCCCTATGAGATCATGATGTCGACCAAACAGCTTGTCCGTAGTCTTCATCAACTTTCATCTTTGGAAACCGTGTGTTGTACATTTGTCTGTCAGCAGTCGACATCTATCACGGAAATCGTGTGTTGTACATTTGTCTGTCAGCAGTCGACATCTATCACGGAAACCGTGTGTTGTAAACTTGTCTGTCAGCAGTCGACATCTATCACGGAAACCGTGTGTTGTAAATTTGTCTGTCAGCAGTCGACATCTATCACGGAAACCGTGTGTTGTAAATATGTCTGTCAGCAGTCGACATCTTTAACGGAAACCGTGTGTTGTAAATTTGTCTGTCAGCAGTCGACATCTATCACAGAAGTCATTATATTCGGAGTAAGTACTTTAATACCAAATCATCTGTGACATGTGAACAGGCTAGGTAGCTGAAGGAGGGATGTTACAATCAAGAGAGGGAAAATTCACGATCGGAAAGTAAAAATTGTTTTTCGTACGGATTAAAATATACCGTTCCTGTGGGTCATGTTTTATGTAAAGTTCGCGGAAAGAAGCTGAAGATCAAGCTCAGGACGGTATATACGATCGATGTAGGCAATACACATCGTTCATATATCTAAATCCGAAATTTTAGGACTTGGCTAGTTTTTGTTACCAGTCTTGATAAGCTAATCAATGAATTTAGCTTCATATGAAAATCAAATCAAATCGGCCAGAAGAGGGACACGTTGCCTCAGAACTCAACAAAGATATTGTCAACCAGGAGCGCCATTATTCTCACAAGAATTGTTCCAACATAATTTAAAACATTTTTTTTATAATGCCGTTTGCCATTTTTTTGGGGGGAAATCGCATAATTACAGGCGTCCTTCAAGTTTGGTGTGAGGTATTTTAGTGTAAAGTATAACTTATGACCTCAAGACTCATCATTCGTTCTGCAAGTCGAAATAATGCAAGTTCATGTCTGATTTATACCGAAGACCATTGAAAAGTGTGAGAGCAACTTTAAAAAAAAAAAAAAAGTTTTCTCGAGAAATTTTATTGACATTTAGGGGTAGGGCAGGGCAGGGGGCGTAGTACCCGGAAACAATTCCATAGTTTCTTGGTTTATTTTCTATACTGTTCCTTCTGTGTAATGCAATCATTCTGCCAATTTTCCGTATTTGCGGTCACTTTGCAGCTATGAATATTCCTTTTAATCACATCAATTAGTCTTTGTTTCCTGTTACAAATGAGCTCGTTGGTTTCCTGTTACAAATGAGCTCGTTGTACCATTCGTTAATAATCAATGAGTTTGATAGATTTGAATGTCTTCTCACGGTTTCTACTTCCTTGTCTATGATTGTAGTCATACAAATCGAGTGTTCTCGTGCCTGGCTATCAGTCCCATGTCTTTGCGGATGTCTTTAAGATATCATTCAATCGTATTTGACACATTACTCAAACAACGGTGTGTACTGTTTCCCCGTACCTTTATAGCTATAGGGTAGTCCCATACTTCTGTTTCGTTAAGAGCCTCTAAAACTCTCTGACGTCATTCCCTGCCGAGTCCTCGTATTCTCTGTAACATTTGTAAATATCCTTATTAAAATCATTCATGTACCCTTCTCTAAATGTGCATATAGTTGTTTTGTGCTCATTATATATGATGTGGGTACGCCCTCCAGATCGTCCTTCATAACTTAGCTTTCTATGTCGTGTTTACGTTTGCTGCTTTCTCTATCCATTGGATTTCCTGTATGCTCACTGTTAGAACTAGTGACAAAACTCATGTCTCCATGACAAACCTGGTGTCCTAGTTTATATCTATATTTTAAGTATGTGTTTGTGTTATTGATACTAAACAAGCGTCCAAGATCGTTTCTACCCTTCCTTAAAACTAACTTATTATCAACATAAATCTTTAAATTTGAAACCTACATATGTTATATGATCAGATGAAAAAACAACTCCCAGGAAACACGGCGTAATACTTGGAATGTTTATACAAATTACATAAATTATATCATATTTTTTGGCAAATATTCACACGCCAGATCCAAACGGTAATGAAGAGAAACAGTATATGTGTATAGTTACTAAGATGTTGATGCTCAAGTTCGATAAAGTTTTTTCAAATTCATATCCATCGACATCTGGCAGTATATATATGTAACTTCTTTTTTCTATCT